TCCTGCAACAGACTTCACGAGCCTTACACGCCCACTGTCTGAACACGGAGTGTGTCCCTCTCAGTTCCCCACAATGTCACCGGGGCTGTAAATTACCTCCCAAAGGGGTCTGGATAACAACTCCACTCAAACGCCTTTACATCTGACCCCCTTCAGCTCTGCTAACCCACAGGAGCAAGGAAACAGGGCGTCCTTCAAGTGGAGGCCTGCCAAGGTGCCAAGCACCCTTCGAGACCTGGTCTGCACATCTGTTTTGTCTTTCTGTCTGTCTTCCATGAAGTAAGCGAGTGACATCCCTGGCACGACTATTTTTCCATATTGCTATCTGCTCACTGATGTCAGCAAGGTTTCCATGAGTTCCCCTTAAGACCAGGAGTAACGCAAGCAGAATCCGTGCAGGGCACTGTTCCACACTAACAACCAGGGACACTTCTCCATGGATACGTGGACTCGTAAAAGAAACCCCAGTGACATCACACCGTGCCTGTTCTGCACCCTAGGGATGTGAGTAGCACCTGGGAACGTCAAGCTTGCAAGCAGCCATCTAACGTACAAACGCTGGTCTCTACCTTTCAGGAGCAAAGGACAGCGAAGCCTACAAAGAAACCAGTCCGCAGGGCGAATAGCCCACATGTACCACAGCCTCATCTACACAGAGACCAGAAGAACTAGATGGTGCCCAGCTACTACTACCAGTCATTCTGGGCAGGGTCACAACAGACTGACTCTGATAGAAAGGAAAAAAACGTGGAAGAGAGCTCCAAATCCAAAAAGTCCAGACTTACTAGACCAGCTGAGTCCAGAGGACTCCCTGAGACTATCTCCCTAAAATACTCTTTAAAATTTGAATCAAACCTACCCTGAGGTCACCTTTTAGTGAAATAAGAGATTGTTCATAAGATAAAGAATATTATCCATGAGTACGGTGTCCCATTAAAAAAAAATCTGAGGGCAAAAGGTAAACACTGACTCTGAAGCAAAGATGAAAAGATAAGGGGGGCAAGGGAAACTAGACTACTGGAAATGTAACAACCAGAATGCAATCAAAGAACATGCTGACACACTGAAAAAGGAAACTCACATCACTGAACAATCTGTGTAGAAACTGTCCAACAGGAACCTAATTTTCTGTATAAACTTTCACTGAAAACACAATACAACATTATTTAAAAAAGAGATCAAAGAAAACCCAAAGTGTGAGCCTTTGAGAAAGCTACTAACACGTGGTGTCGCTGTGAGTCGGGTCGACTGGCTGCTAACTACAGACTACTGAGAAGTCTGGTCCAATATGGAGACAGTACAGTCTGACAACAGAGAACGTGCACCAATCTCTCAGCATGGGCCTGCCCACACTCATGCCCCTTTCTGATCCCTGGGAAGAGGTGAGAAAAAGCTGACCAGATGCCAGTCAGGAGGAGGTGTGGACAAGAGTCAGTGGGAGACGATGAAGCTCCGGCCTCGACCCCTTCAGCACCATGCCACCCGCTCGGCACACTCACCGTCGTGTGTGGGTCCATCATGGCCAGCACAAAGCTGCAGGACTCCATGGTACAGGAGCGCACGGTCTCTGTCCTGCCCTCACGGAAAAGCCGGGTCATGGAGGCTTCATACGTGAGGCAGAATTTGCCCATGTCCTAGGAGAGAAAGAGTATTTTAATACGAGGCCGGGCGCGTCCTCAGAGCCCAGAGCTCACAGGTGAGTGGGCAAGGCCAACCTCAGCTTTAGCTGCTGGACTTCTACATGCAGTTACTGGCAGGCAGGCAGGCAGAGATGTCGTTAGCTTCAGAAAGGGCTCAGGGCAGGGAGCCCAGCTTCTGGGGAACCAAGGATTCCGTTTTAAGACACAAGTGATGGCATCACGCAGTCTCCCGAGCTTCACACACCTTGACCGTATTCCCCTGACACCAGCCTGACAGAAGAACAGAGCAACCAGGCCTCAAAGAATTCCAACCGAGAGGCTCTTTGGACTGAGGATGGTGAGGCTCCAAGTCGTTTGCTCTGGACACATCAGGAAGGACCAGTCGCTACATAAGGGCATCGTGGTTGGCCAAGTGGCAGGTCAGCGGGAATAAGGAGACCCTCTCTGAGCTGGATGGGTGCAGTGGCCGCAACGAGGGACTCATACACGCTGGGCAGTGTCAGTTCTGGGGTACACACAGGTCCCGTGAGTCGGAGCCGACTGGCAGCAGCCCACAACAGCCACACGGCCACCATCGTGTGCAGAGAGGCTTATGGAAGGAACGCAGCACGCAACCATGTTTGCATTCAACGGTTTGGAGTCACCAGAAGAAAAGGTGGGATTCTGTCCAGAGAAAGGTGTTAATGGGCGATATTCTGTCTGGTCTGGATGAAGGTGGGAACGAGCCAGCAGGGAAGTGCTGTTGTCATGGGCCAGCGAGTCGGTTCCCACTCACAGTGACCCGTGGACCACAGAAGGCTACACTGCCTGCTCCTGTGCCAGCCTCACAATCCCTGCTATACCTGAGCCCATCGCTGCAGCCACCGCGTCAGTCCCTCTCGTCGCATCTCCTTCTCTTTCCCGCGGACCCTCTACTTCACCAAGCGTGAAGTCCTCCTCCAGGGACTGGTCCTTCCTGATCACAGGCCCAAAGCACGAGATGACGTCTCACCACCTTTGCTTCCAGGGAGCGTTCTGGCTGCCCTTCCTCCGACAGACCGGGCTGCTCTCGTGGCCGTCCAGGGCACAGGCAGTGTTCTTCCCCGACACCATAACTCAAAGGCTCCAGCTCTGTGGTCTCCTTACTGCCCGTGCTTCCAGAGGGTTTATTATGAAGCGGTGGTGGTGGGGGGGTTTACAAGAAGGATAACTCTGGTGCTTAGTCATTTAGGTCATTTAGTAAAGGTTAACTTGGCACCCACGATACGATACTTGAAATTGACTCTCTGATGCCAGAGTTCACATGGACAAGCTGTCAAACAGCCATGCATCACACCTGCTGTGGTGGTCAGGTTTGTGCATCAGCTTGGCTGGGCCTGGCTGAGTGGCTGGGCAGTTGGAGGTGGTGTTCCCTATGATGAGAGTGGTCATCAATTCCATGGCGGAATCTACTAGCTGCCTTAGAGATATGGTCTGCTTCCTGTATATAAGCAGAAGCCTTGGGGAATGGTCTCTAGCTTATGGCATGCTTGGACCCTGC